ATGATATAAATGTTAAGTTTCTCAAGAATCACAGAATGATGGAAAAATCTGTGTTGGAAGCCAGGCTCTCCCTTTGTAAATTTTGCTTCCACTGTGCTAATACTCTCAGAAAAAAAGCTGGGGAAGGTCAGATGGGCTGGAAAACATAAGGCAAGAGAAGAACGCGTGCTTTCCCTTTTGTATGACTCCTCGCATGCTGCATCTATTGCCACAAGCTTGCAGGGGCAGGGAGATGGGAGAAAGGCAGAGGAAGATCTGCATGTGGATCCCAGTCTCTCATCTTGTCCCTTTGCTCCTGCTTCCTAGCCCACGTAGCAATCACAACACTGTGTTGTTTGGTATAGGCCCTTCCACGTCCAAGGTCTTTCTCAACCTGGACCTATGGATTCTGCCCAGATCATCTGAAAGTCTCTGATTAAAGAGCTATTACAGCTATCCCTCCTTCTCAACTCACACATCTTCAAGATGATCTTTAAGAAAAGATGCCCTCAAACAGCTCTTTAAAAAGGAGCTATTTGCTTCATAATCGGGCCACCAAAAGCCCACACCTTGCTGCCCAGATCATTCATTCTTTGTATTTGTGCTTCAATCAGATTATTGACAGGCAATTTCTCTAAACTAATCTGAAATATCCTTAACTGCAGTTTCCAGTGAAAAGAGTGTATCCTGCATTGAGTCAAATTTTGTATTCAATGTCAGAAACATCTGACAGGTATTGTGCCCTGCCAAAAATGATAAGGCTGGAAGCCTGGAGGCTTCACCGTAAACAGTAGATTTGTCATTTCTTTCGCTTGTTTTTACTTTTGTGGCTTTATTGGAAACATGCTCAAAACTCAGGAGATTTGGAGATTACTTACTACCCAGGGACTCTAAAAGGGGTCCTACCACCAAAACATTAAAATTAAATAAGTTCATAAAAGAAAGGAAAAAAAAAAAAAAAACGAGTAAGAAAAAAAATCAGCTGGGTTTTACAGAACTGATTCATAGAGTGCTGCCTACCAGGGTCCAATTTCCTCTAAGCAGTGGCCAGGTCTAACGATGAGAAGTAGAATTGTGTGACAGATTCTGCAATGAACTCAGGTGAATCCATTTTGTCTCTATACTGTCTCTTGGAATACAGCTAACATTGAATGACAGGAAATATTCATATATTGGTGAATGAAAAAAAAAGAATATTTATGATTGCAAAAAAAGATGATTTGAAAGTGGCAGCAACATTACAAATATGATTTTAGTATGATGTGAATTACAAGCACTTGATACAGAGGGGATAATATACAAATTTTCCTCATTCTGCACTATGTATATCACTAAGATCCATGGAAATCACATACATATATACCAAAGAAACTATAATATGTAGAATTATTTATGGAATAGCCGCTTCACATACACATCAATTGCAGCATCATAATGGCTAGAGTCACACTCAGAAGACAAAAACATATGTTATATATTGTAAGTGAAAAAGGTTGAATTCCTATCATTGTTTCACCACATTTTCCATAAGCTAAATAGACAACTAAGGGAAGTATTTTTTTTTTTTAAGATATGCTAAACATCATATAGTTTATCACTACAAGACACTTATTCCACTTACAAACTAAGTCATTAAATAACAGCTACTGGCAGTATTTTGCAAAACAGCGCTGTGCAACATACATAGAAGAAACAAACCGAAACATCTGAAATTGCCTCTGGTTTGCTCAAAATTCTAAGGACACCAGAGAAGCTGAAAAGCAGCAGCGTGCAGAGGTCCAGCATCTCCAGACTTTTGGTGGCAAGAAGTAAGCACATGCTTCCCTTTTACAACAGCCACCAAAGATGTGTCAGCACTGGCAGGAAAAAAAAAAAGCTTTACAGCTTCACAGGCACCTTTACGATTTTAGTATTTCAAAATTATGGCATTTCCAATAAAGGCTGCTTTTGAATTGCCACTTGCTTTTACAATTCACTTTGTTTCACAGTACTCTCTATCTCCTACTGTTAACTCTTGAAAGAAGCCTTTCAAAGATCAATTCAGTCTGTTAGGATTCTGGGTGTTAAAATTGAATTTTTCTTGTCTACTTGTTCTTTTGAAAGGCTTAAAAGTGGTTTGTGGCAATCAGCATAAAGGGATTTGATTGACAGAGTTTAACTAAGGGATCTAGAGAAGATTCATCAGGGAAAAATCGCTAAAATTGTAAATTAAATGGCAAACAGTTTTTCTCTGTCTGCTCTTAAAACAAAATAGGTTCTTTTAGATGTGAAAATCATTCTAAAAGCTTGTACAGGTAGTCAATGAAAAGCTTAGAAATGCACACCATAATCTTTCAAATAACATTCTTCAATAGTAATCAAATAAAAAGAAAAGATAAAAGGGCAAGCACCACAATGACTACCAAACAAGTCCATTGACCTCATTCACACAAACCTCAAAAACATAGCTGCCAAACTTCCCTCCAGTAAAATACAGGAGATTTAGTTGAAACGCCATTATATCTCTTCCTGTGGAAATTACAGCTTTTTTCCCCCTTTCTTTTGCCTGGCTGCTCCTTCCTTCCCAGTTTGCTCTCTCAAATTGCCTTTCTCTGCAACTGACCTTTTCCATCTGCCTACAAGAAGAGAGCCCAGCTGGAGGGTGCCTGCCACGCTACCTCGTCAGTGGTGGAGAGGGAGGAAAGTCTGCCCTGCTTCCAGCACTACTCCATCAGCACCTCCAGCAACAGATGGGCAGCAGGGAGGGAGAAACAGTCCCTGCTGAATGCCTGTAGCACCAGAGATACCAAAACAGGCACCCAAAGACAGATCTTCAAACTGTCTAACCAACTCTGAATGAGAGTACCATGGAGTACTATGTGTCCCCCTTTGACATTTTTATTATTCTGTTCTGAATTATTGGGCTTTAATTCACCAGCTTGTGAGAAAAAAAGTTGGCGGCTCTTTTTTTTTTTTTTTCTTAACCTCCAGTTGTGTGAACAGTGTTATACAGACAGAAACTGGCATAGGTAAAAGATCTATTTATTTATTATCCTGATCGTGCAGGTTATTTTGTATGCTACTGCCACTACTTGTGAGGCCTTTGCTTTAAGTCCCAGACAATCCTACCACCCAAGTTAAAATGATTACCTTCCTTCCAACATAGCATCTACTTCAGTTCAAGGCTGTTTCAAATTCATTTACAGGATATTAGCAGGATAAAGCTTTTCTCTGTCTAAAACTACAGCGAAAACATAGAATTAACATTTTTGTGATGGTGCTTGAAGTTCATATACCCATCTGCTCATTTATTTTTTATGTTTTTTCCAGATTTTCTGGGCTTTTCACCATTCTTTTGTGACTCCAATTTATTGTTATCTTCAAATACGGTTGTATTTATGTGTTAATCTTCTCAGCTTTCAGATCAGGTATGTGATACGAAAGCACTCAAAGTTGCTTATGTTTTAGTCTACAAAAAACCTCCTACACCTTTACACTAACAAGTTAGTTTGTCTAAATATCAGGGCTTTTTTTTTTTTTAAATCAGGTTTGCATCGGTGAAACTTTTCCAATGTACTACTCAATGCTATTCTAACATAATAACGATTTTACATAATTAGTTTGCATGTATCTAGTAATTTACTGTAGCTTACACACTTCTGTATTTATTGGAGACATAAAAGAAAAAAACATGTTTGAAATGCCAACACAAATGAAATTTAACACAGAAAACTCAGAACTTTTTCATGATAAAACACATAGTTATGAAAGACTGCACAGGAGTCATTCACTCACTGAAATACTGCAGAGACCAAGAGATTTATGCAAGCTAATGATACATACAAAACAACACACCTAATACATCACACTACTCTAGCAATTTGCAAAACCAATCCTGCATCTAAGCCATCTCAGTCCTCTGCTCAATTACTCTTTGTAAATATTACTTTTTTCCTTTAGAATATCTATCTTTGCCAAAAGACAAAAGGATCCTACATGTGTAAACCTACAATATTAATCTAGACATGAAACAATCGAACAATACTAAATACTAAGGTCAAAAATTCTCAATTACAGACTTTAAACATGATTGTTTACTTATCTTTGCAAATCCAACATACAAATAATTTGTGTTTCACATAAGTGCAAGATACGATTCAGTTCCTACTTTGCAGGCTGGCCAGAATATTTTCTATTAGCTTTGCATTGATCTTTGGTACATATTATTTGAATGTTGTGGATACATTTTTTAAACTCTTATAGAAACTACAGTGCAGTACTTAATAATGCAAATGATGAAAGTCTCTTTAGAGAATAACGCATCTGGATTCATTTTACGACCAAAACTTGTTTGCTCAATGTTTTTTTTTATTTCTCAGATTCAGATAATCAGAAATCTTTACAACTTTTAATTACACATTCCTGATAACACCAGCCTCAATTTCTGCATAGTTGTAATTTAGAATGAAACATTAATTTATTTATTTAGCACAGTAAAGATTTTGTCAGATATTAGTGGCAACTGCCATGAGTCCAAACCTGCTTGGCTGTTTCTTCTATTTTTAATAACACTAGCTAATAAGAATTGCCATCTGTAACAAATAATTATTCTGCTTTCAGAATATTTGTCTAAATTTTATACAAATGATTTACTGAGTGTGTAAACATTTAAAAAAATTTCTTAAAAGAGACAATAACTTTTTCTTTGACACAGTCATAGAATATGGTTAAAATTTTCATCTTTATGAAAGCCTAAGAAGTTGATAAAATAACTGTTATTTACCTTGGTCAAATTCTACAGTCGATGAAGTGACACTCGCAAGGTTTTACATATCTATCTCAGAAACTGGTAATTAGTGACCAAACACGCAGCTGCAAAGACCTCGCACGCAAAGGGACTTACCCGCTGGCACGCTGCTGGCCAGTTCTCTGCGAAAGCAGGACTGGGCCTCTCGCGCGTTTGCAACTACCTTCAGAGGGCTCTGTGCTGCAGTTCCTGGCTTAGCCCAAAACGCAAGGGACATGCAATAACCTCCACATACCTTCTCATACAATCCAGCGCCCGAATAAAGAAGTCTTTGTGAAGCTGATGCTCGTCCCTCAAGATGGAGCACTGCTCCAGCGTCACTGACATGGATGTCCGGTCTTTGGCACTTTTGCAACAGGTGAAACGGACTCCATTCAGCTTGCGGCAAATCTGAAACATCGGCAGACGTGAAATGATTGCCCTTTTCACACCTTGCGCTCTCTACACACTAGGCAGACTGTGAAACCGTCACAATTTTGCAATCACAATGCATACAGAGAACTACAGTATTTCTCAAGAAAACAGCTATTGAAAGGTAGTAACTCCAGCCTGAATCATACGGCTGCTGACGTGCGTCTTTGCAGTTAAACCAGTTCTTAGCGCTGGGGTATTCTCATATTCTAAGGATTATGGCTATGCTGGCCTGACACAGTGCCACAAAAGGTGAAAATGTTGTGCTGAAAAGAACTGTAAATTCATCTTTTGTTTATAGATCAGCAGCATTAACACTCTATAAAAACAGCACTAAAAGCTTATAGTTACTGATCTATAGCCTGTTTCCGATTTGTCCAAATGACACACTTTAAAAGCAGACCTTCAGGGCTTTCCTTAGCAGGACAAGCCTGCAAATCTCCTGCCCACTGAGGAAAAAGCAGCCCTTATTGGTTTTAGGAGAGAGATGCGCATAATCATGTACTGCAGTTGAAATCAAGTCTCTCTCCTGCCCACTCAAACACCCCCCAAAAAGTGAAGCAAGAAACTGATGGTGGACTCAACAAAAACTATCTACTGTTCTTAGTCCTAAGCATTTTAAGTGAGTCACTAAAATGTCTACATGTACCACAGCTTACCAAACCACTGCATCCAATTTCCTGAACTTCACATAAAAAGTATTTGAGTTAGCCTAGACTATGAAAGGTAAAGTGGCTTCATTCTTTTCCTCACTTTCTGTGACAACCACCCTATTCAATTAAAGCTTAATTGTCCGAACACCTAACAAATGTTGAAAAAATGAATAAAAACTTTGAGAAGTCTTTTTTAACTCAGACTCAGGAACTTAGAGGACTAACTCCTCATGAGGGTATGGATTCAGACACATCTGAATTTAAATATAGTCCTTATTTTCAACAAGTGAACTGTTCAATGCGTGACCCAGGACAACTAAAGCTTAACACAAATGACTGCCATGGAACGCCCATTTTCACTGTACATTTTGACAAAATTATAAGGAATAAGGGAACCACGACATACTGTTAGAGATAATTTCTCACCTTAAGAATCAGTTTGGCATTGTATCAGCTCATTAGTTTATACTTTGGGTTCAAACAATATTTTACTAGAAAAAAGAAAAATTTGAAGGAGAGCTGGTGTGCTCAAATATGGGTCTACCTTTCCCCGAGGTACTTTGTCCTAACAAAAGGCCCAGCTTTTCTTGGTCCTATCCCTGGACAATCATAGCTATAACAGTATAAAATAAGAAAATATTTACCAGAATAGGGCAAGGCAGTAAATTACAGCAGTTTGGGCTCATCCTCAGGAATGTCTCAGCGTGGTTATCAAGTGTTTACTTGGGATCTTTCAGGATGAAACTAGAGCATGATCTCATAACCTCACTTCACCACCAGATAAGCACTTTTATATCCATTCATTGCATTCTCAGAAATTCTATTAAAATGGATGGCCCAGACAATACTTACAGTCTTTAAGGTCTTTGAGATATGGTGGTAAGGGCGATTTCAAAAGTCAAATACAGGGAATTAATTGATTGAATCTTAACTTTGAACCCAAAGAAGTACAGGCTAGTAAAGGAGAAACTGCGAGTATTTCTTCCCTCCTATAATTCAAAATTTTAAAACTTAAATCTGTTTAAAAATTTTGAAAGTTGCATTGGGATTTAAATAAAGTACTATAAGACTTTTTTCTAAAGAAAGTATAAAGCAGGGCTGATAATGCTGCGAAAGAAGTTAACTGCTTAACTGAAGAGATTAATTCTCTTGACACTAGTCTCTTCTGAAGTCCATGAGTCACTGTAACTATTTGAAGTGAATGAGTCATAAGAAAATAAACCAGGTTATTATTCTGGATGAGTGATGGCCTCTGATGCGAGGAGGGGAAACTAGATCCCAAATCTGGGCTGACAGCATACACATAAAGTGCTGGCTAGTGCAAGTCAGTTTTGAACTGAGTAACATTCTATGCACAGCAGGCAAACGCCCATAACCACAAGCTTATTTTGCACTGAAGTTCAGCACAAATGTCTCAATCATTTTAAAGTGGATTAAATAGAAAACCGTGGGTTAATTTAAATAAACAAATTAAAAACCCCTTGGATTATGATTTAAGGAGAAAGGTAGGTTAACCTGACAGGCTGACCCAGATAAATGCTCAGAATGACTGTTCACTAAACAGCAGCAGTTAAACATTTTAAATCATTAAAATGGGAAAACACAATGCTCTGACACTCTAGAAATCTAATAAGGGACGATGCCAAATATATGGTAATATCATGATATCAGAACACACAGTTTAGTGTCCAGCCTGAATTTTATACTGAACTTTACTCACTTCTTCCCCATATATATTGAAGATACAGGAGAAGGAGAAATAGACTTAACATTGATTAGAGCTTTAGAAAGTATCCCTTAGGAATACAGATTTAAATGATTAGGATTGTGATTAAACTTAAAGAGGGGACAATAAAAACATATAAGACCATGAAGACTAAACCAAGGATGAATCAATACTGTGATTGTTTCTCCTGATATAAGACAGAAAATGAAGGGTGCAGCTTAGGAAATAAAAATATATAACATTTAAATCTCTGTCCAGTTATATTTAGAATAAGAAACATTTGTGATACCAGTTTGCAAAAGCTGATGTTTAAAATGCAGATGTATTCTCACAGTCCCATTACAACAGGGATTACATGCAGATGCATACCCGTGTAGAATCTCATACATCTACTGCAATAACAAAGTGATCTCCCTACAGCAGGGAATCATGCCTTTCCAATAAGTAAATGTAACATTGTATAACAGTGTGCAGATGGGTCCAGAATTACTCATTTCAGAAGGTTACAGTAAGGTAACATCAAGAGAAATAGAATACAGTGAAGGAAAAATCTGAAACAGTTTGTATGTCCAAAGAATGCTTTATATCCATGAAATTATTTTCAGGGAATCCTGAATAGATGGTTGAAGACAACTTTCTATATCCAAAGATCAAGTAAATTCTGTCGTACTCTTTGTAGCTCATTTTACACTATCCTAAACTGCTTTATCTTGTGCTTCTTTAAAAAGCAATGTTTCATAGTAATTTCAGAGCTAGTACTGCAAGAAAAGCTTATATTTTTACTGTCAACAGATTTATACTGCAATAGCATGTGATAATATTCACTAACCACAATGCAAAACGTTATTAGCAATATAAAAAAAGTTACAGCAGTGTTATTAATACAAAGATGTAGTTAATATTTTCTTATTCCTAGTGTTAATGAAAAGTCATGGAAAATTTTATTAATATTTTGTACCAAATATTTATTTGCCTTGAAGGGTATATGCAATTGAAAGTTCCCCAAAACACAAGGTCTTGCTTCAAATTTCAGTAAATACCAAAGACTAAAGTCTCTGCTTGTATAAGTGGGCAGACACACCAACGGTACTTTTCTAAATCTGAGACAATTATCTGGTTGAATGTCACATTCTTGAAAACTTTGAGCTCTTTATAAACATCTAAGGATGGTTTTGTTCGGTCTTTTTCTAACATGTATGTGCAAAACCCACAGAACTGGGAAAGAACAGCAGAGTAAGTATTGTGAATAAAGCAAAGTAAGTATTATCCATTGTTTGATAAACATTTTCCTTTGTGTTCTCACTGTGTCTGAATAGCTGCCCTTTGCATATTTAGCTTATTTGTGTTGCTGTCAGTGGTATTTTGAGTAATCAATTTTTGTATTACCACAGGATGGATATGATTTTAAATAAAAAAAAAAATTAGATACTGTAACTGAATACTGTATTGTCTCTCTCATATAAGGTGATATATTTACAGCTATGCACGATAATCCAAGGAGTTGATTCTGCCCATACTGGGGATGAAGGGATACCTCTGCCTAAAAATAGGCTCTGTAAGTTAAAGAAAAAACATGCCCCAAACAAAAAGCAAACCTCTTGTACGCTGTTACATAAGTCAATGAGATAAATGAAAAATCCTGCATCAGGGACAAAACAACCCCAAGCAGCAGCACAGGCTCTGCAGAAAAGTGAGTGGAGGGTGTAGGGGACAACAAAGCGACCAGCACCATCTCCTGCTTTGAATTCTAGCCAGTTCTACCAGTTAAGGAAGTGAGAAAAAGAAAGTACCTGTAATTTAAGTGTAGGAAGAAGAAATATATTCATGAGTGGGAGGAGAGACCATCAGAATGGAAATGTTAAAGAGCCATTTCAGCATAGCTACCTACTTTAATCATTGAGTTTTCCAATCATATACTCAAAATCAATTCACTTACAATATCAGCAGGCATGTGAAAATTAGTTCATCATCTGAACGTATTTGAAACAAGAAAGCTTACCATCGCAGCCAGCCACATGATTTCTACATTTTTTCTCTTTTTGGCCTGGATATTTTGATGGAGATTTTCTAGCAATCCCTTTAAATCATTCTGTTCTTGAAAATGTGGTAGACCTAGAAAAAAAAGGGTTATAACGTTCCTCATTATGATAAGGTTGATGATATGGTTTGCTGACTAAAGAATGCCCATATTAAAGAACAGATCTATTATTTACAGCCGCCTTTGGAAACACAGGATGAAAAGCAAGAGCTAAATATTTAGAGAATAAGCAGACCTCCTTTCTTTCAAACTATTAGGTTGTACTCCCTAAGATCTTCACCATGGAAAATTAAAGTGTCTTCAAATTTTATCTTCTAAACAGGTGGTGAAAACATTCAAATCTTTGCTGTAGCTCTGTTACCTATGATTATAGACATTCAGTGTAAGTAGAGAAATAACACTGCATTAAAACCTGCTTCAATGGGATGATTCTTTAATTTTTAAGCCAAAATATTTTGCTTTTGTTTTCAAAATGGAACATCTGATTTTTGTTTTAAAATAATGCTTTCATTCCTAATGTAACATAACAGGAGGGTTAAATGGCACTAAATAACCCCTCCCTTCCCCCTAAAATCTAACAAAGGTGCCGAGTTTCAGCATCCGTGCAAGGACAGGAACGACTCTCACACACATTGATGCGATGCACAGTCGGTTCCCTTTATTATTCCGCTTGTGCGGTTATATTCATTTTTCATATCTGTACACGCAATTACGCTTATTCGGATAAGGCTATAGACATAAATTACACACTGTTCACACGCCCCACATTCCCTTATGATTGGTAACTATGCACTAACGCCAATAGCAACAGACAGCTTCCACGTCCTTGAACACATCTTGTTTTTGCTAACCCACATCATGTGCACTATCAGAACTTTCTCAATGGCTATTCTTAGCTGTCTTTTCCAGCGACCTGTTCAGTTATGCTAACTGTTTTGCTTAAGCGGCCTAGTTGTGCTAACTCTCAAGCTACATCAACCCCAACACAAAGGATATTTCTCAGTCTGAAATTAAACGGGACTTTAATTTTGGAATAGAAAATAAATTCAGGTTTACTTTAAATCCAAAATTTTACCTACTTGCCTTAGGTATGGCAGCTGAGCTGAAGTTTTATTAATCATAGATGTCTAGAAGGAATTCAGGAGTAGGAAATGTAATTTGCTTTTCTGTTTTGTGTGTATGTATAGGAGGGGTTTTTTTCCTAATGCTACCTATATCTTCATTAATTTTGAAAATCAGTAGAAACAACCAAAATCTGTTTCTCAAAATGATTTCTTCTTATGATAGTGAAGTAAAAAGAAATTTGATAATGCTTATCACCAAAGAAAGGCTCAAAACCAGCTGAAACAAAATTAAATCAAATTGATAAATTGACATATTTCTTTTTTTTAAAGAAAAAGCAGGATGTTCCATCCAATGAAGCAGAAAAAAACAACCCAAGCCCCAGACCCAAAACCAAAGACTAATATTCAATTCGAAGAGTGAAAAGGAGGCAACTACTAATGCAGGTCAAAATCCATTCTCCTAACCTGATCACAGCTGGAATGATCCCTCTTATCAACAGGCTTTTGCCTTTTATCTCTAATGAATTCAATAGCTTCCCTTATCCATGATTCATAGTAAGAAGTAATTCAGATATACTCAGAAAGAACTATTCTAAAAATGTCTATGTTGCCTTATCCATACTGCGCTGTCAAAAAGAAAAAAAAAGCTGAAAAAGTACATTGAAACTAGTTTTGTAATAATCTTCATGACGATTGTTTTATGTGTACTACAATTCCTGATAATACAATTAGATAATGCAGAGCATATAAAAATACATCTCTATTACTATTACACTGCAGCTGTTTCTTTAAAACACATAATATACAATGAGTACTCTAGAAAGATGCCTCCAAATTATGAGAGTGTATCACTAGGTAAACATCTTAGTGCTTCAAAGTGATTTTCCTTTGGTTCACAGCAGAAAATGCATCACCTCAGAGCGATGACTTCACCATAGGTAAAGCAAGATTCTCCTAATTTATAATATTGCCAAATGAGCTGCATCCTGACTGGCTGTGATTGATGGCTTAAATTCCTTGTGTCACAAAGCAGTATCAAACTCTCAAATCATTCTCGTAGACTATAAGTGGGAGAAGTCTGGAAGCACAAAACAGACTCACCGACTTTATGTTGAAAATGCATGTACTGCTACATGCGTTATGATGCTATGGAAGAAAATATTTACTTGCAGGATTTCTAAACCTTGCCTGCATCCCTCTTCTCACATGGGACAACACATTGCAACACTGATGTTGCTGTGGGTGTTGGGTATCAAAACAGCAACACCAAATATCAGTCACGACATAGGTTTCTCCGATTTTATGCTTTCAGCTGTTTAAATTGAGTTCTAAGCCATCTTTTTCAATTAATTATGTACTACTAAACAACAATCATACATTGTTGTACCTTACTATTATTAGCTATTCTATAAACACAGTGCTATTTTGGTGCCTAAACCAGAAATACATTTGAGTGGTATTTTTGGTAGGAAACTTTCAGGGAGCGCATTGTTATTTATTGTTTTCAGAGTTTCCTATTAAAGAATTAAAGAGACTAAGAAACAGGAGAGTGACAGAGTGCATATTCATCTAAAAGAAGACAGAAAGTCAGTGTTCAGCATATGCAGTTACACGCAGCTGAAGACTTCTAATAATTGGGAGTAGAGAGAAAGCTAGAATATTATTGGAAAAAGGAATTACAGAGATGAGAGGAAAACTAACAGCAAAGGTGGTAATACCTTTATGGGAGTGGAAAATTGAAATCTTTGAAATGGAATGTACAAATGAAGCCACAGGCAAGTGAGGCTGCCTATGGACGGCGTATGCAACAGCATGGCCGATAGGGCTGTGAGTCCTCAAATTCTGTCTGGCTTTAGGAGCACTATTTGTAACTAACAGCTTTGTCAACCAGCTCCTGCTATTATTTTGTAGCACCGATCTGGCACTAGAGGAAACTACCTGGAAAGGTGTGACAAAACCATCAATGAGCCATCAATACTGAATGACTCCCACTTGGCTACAACACCAGGGCTGCTGCCAGTTTGGATGGAGGTTTATCTTCCTAAGAACTTGAGCACAGAGGTGAAGGAACAGGGAAAGAACTGAAGTTCTCCTCCCACTAAACAACTTGGCGAGCTTTGCTTGTTTCCAGAGAGCCGGTTTAAAAGGCACATTCCTCGAAGCCAAAAGAGTAATTCCGTATAATGGCAGGGAGCTACTGGGAAGGGCAAGGGAACCAGAGGTACTTTGTGTTTTGTAAAAATTTGGACAAAGAACGGACTCAGATCTTAGAGGTAGGAAAAAAAGTAAGAAGGTAATAATAACCAGAAAAGACATGCTTAATTAGACAAGTGTAGTTCTCAAAAGCCTGCACAGTCTGGAAGAATTCCAGGAATACTGTGTGGCTCACTAATAATCCTTCTGCAGGAAGACAGTACAAGGTTAGTTTCTGTTAATGAAAAGCAGCCGATACTATCTGCATACAAATTTTTGCTTTTGTGTAATGAGATCCATTTATGAGGTAGCAGATCTACCTTAGACCTAACCTCAGATGAGGTTAGTTTTTCAGGATGCTTTCTTGGCAGGATTCCCCTAAATTAATTCCTAACTTCTTGTATGAGTTTCTCTGTAGACATCCTAGAAATACTAGAGATGTGGGTGGATGGATGGGACTGCTGCCCACCATTTAGGAACAGAGCTTTCACTTCTGTCAAAATTATTAACAAATGAAAATCATCCTGATACAAAAAATAAACATGTACACACATACAGTTACACTTCAGATACAACTTCAAGCACATACATGAAATGGGTAATTTGCAAAAATAATCAACACAAGATGTTCTGTAAGAGAACGGAAGCTTTGCACAGGATTCTAACCAGCAGTATTCACCCTGAGTTACACACATCCTGCAGGATGACAGATCTTTAGATTCAAAAGATTCACCCAAACCTTACCCAAGGGGAAGGGGCATAGATCTCAATGCAAGCTATTTAAAATCAGGCTGTAAAATCTAAAACATTTGGGAATATATTTTAGGCATTAAGACTACTTTAACAGGATTAGATTGATATAAATGGTCTTTTCAGTGTTTGCTTTCAACAGAGTAACAGAATAGTAATGTTTATGACAACAAATTTCTGTAAAATTGGATTATAGGGCCTATTCTAGTGGAACCGTGTTATTCATATCAGTGACATTATGATGTGGCTCATTGCTTGTATTTGCATCTGCAGTTTTCTCTGTGGTTTGCCATACCCTAATACATATGCAAAGTAAGAATGGTGGGAAAGACTGAAACTGATGAAAAATCCCACTGAGTATTTCTGTACAAATATAGTAGGTACAGACTGTCCTCTACTTGAAATATTTAAAAGCATATTATATTAATAATTTAGAAGAGCTGTTTAGTTCATCATTACTGTGTTTCACTCTCCCTGTAGTTTCTGCTATGGCCTTGGGCCTTCAATCACTACTGACTTCAGCAGGGCTGTATACAGGCACAAAGTGTTTAACTTTATGGAACAACTTACAGGACTGAGGCCTCAATCTAAAAGTTGCATCCTGATATTATGCTAATATTACTAAATTATAATATTTCACTTGTCGAACCTTTTCAAAGCCATTTGGATATTTCATTATTTTGTACTCACAATCAGGAGGCATTTTTTCTGTAAACAGCTTGTAATATTCCTTTAGAAGTTCTAAGTTTTCCTGGTTAATGTTTTCCTGCAAAGTGGTATCTCCAAACCTATAAAAAAGCACAGTAAAATGATGAAAAAAAACCCAGTGCTAAATTAACCTTTAGAATTATTTCTTTGCATAAAGAAGTAATTTTGATTTTTTTCCTAGTGTTGAATGTACTAGATTTTGTCAAATGTACAGTTGTTAATCTCTCATGCACTTTGGAACTAGTATTAGGGAACAAGATCATCATTCATGGATAAATTTCAAATGGCACCACAGGCAGAGAACACCAACTCCTACCTCTCCTACTGCTGCTGTTGCTTACGTATATTAATTTCTACCAGAGCTGGACAATATTGAAGCCACACAAGATGGAGTAAACGGAATTACCAGGTGGAAAACCTTCTGAGGAACTGATTTCTGCTCTGGTCTTAGAATATTTGCCATAAATAGTCAAATGGATTACTTCTCTGGACCCTTTCTGCCCTACATTGCTCCTGACCTGTTAGTTATCTTGGGTTCTTGTATCTAAAGCTAATGAGAGAATCATTTCTCTCCTATTGAGCAGTGATTTCACCATTAAGCTTCACAGGCTGGCTGGCTTCAGTCGCCTGCATTTAAGCTTGCTGCTGCACACAGACTTCAGCAGTCGCTCCACAGTGCTGCAGCTGGCTCAGGAGCACGGCCTGCGGTTTCTTGCAGCAGTCAAGTCTGCTGGGAACACATCACCCAATTCCTCACTATCCTGCACCTCACAGAAAACCCAGACAACATCAGGATGTCATTATGCTTATCCATGAAGTGAGTATAGCTATATGGGAAAAGAACTTTCTCTCCGAGGCCAAGATTTCTACAACAGTCAAGTTCCACACAAGCTACACATGGGCTAAAAAAATTCCTCAAACCCCTCTCCTGGTACCTCTACTGTGAGAGTTACGAATGAATGTAAAGACAGGAACGACCCTTAGGTAGTTAAGGCCAAGTTTTTGCAACTCCTCTCTAGAATAGCCTTGAAATGAAGGAAACGAAGACAGGAAAGTAAATGGAGGAGTACAGAGAGGCACGGACAGGTTAAGTGAGAAATTCAGGTAGACAAAAGGGGACACAAATCAGAAGTACTACATGTACTGATACATCATGCAGAAGGGCATCAAATATTTAAATAGTCCAAAGAGGGAAAAGACTCTCCTACTTCCTCAGTAGCCACTGCTGCAGTCACATGAGAATATATCTTTTAAACCAGATATATTCTGTGCTTTATTGAAAGAAGAGCCAGATATTTATCACAAAACCTTATTTGTATTCTCATATTCATTTTCCCACAAAAAAATGCTTTTTACCAAAAAGCATGTGCAGTGTTTCCAATCTCACAGACAAGTGTGCTGCTTTAGGAGTTAAGCAATATATTTGAATTGTCTAATGTTTATACCTGTAAGTCCATGTGGACAAGCTGTTTCTGCATGGAATAATTGAACATGATTTGCTTGATAGAGATGTTAATATATAACTATATTTACAAATATACATACATTAGTTTTTCATTCATGGCTTGCTTTGTGCACAATGTAAAATCACCCCTGTGAACAATGTCACCATTCTTCCTGCTGCTCCAATGCAAGCCAGACAGCTTTTCACACTGACTCCTCTACAAGTCCCCATACATCCAGGCTATTTCTAAATCTTGTCAAATCTTTCTTCAGAACGTTTGTAACTTATAGTTCTTCCTTCCTATCCCACCCATGTAAGCTCTCACAAACTTGCTTTTTGGTTACTGCATACTCTTTTTCTCTGATTTTGGAAAAACGTGATGTGTCCTAGTTACAATTGTCATGACTGATTTTGTTGGTTTTGTATGCTATCCCTCTGGTCATGTCACCTCTCTCACAGCATCACTTTTCCTTTCTTTATGGCATTAAGAACTAGCTATTTTCATTTTCAAGAATGTTTCAGGTTCTCTAACCAACTACTCAACTCCTTCACTAGTAAAATGCCAGTTTTTATTGTCTTCTGATTCAGCCTGTCTCTCCCATTTCAATTTTTTACCTTAATTTTCTCACACATCACCACTCACAACTTGGAGAAGTCTCCCATAAACACCCATAAAGCTACCTGACAGCATGTCTTAGAAGTCTTCCTTAAAAGACTCCCTTTACTCTGCTGTCTACAAACAACAGGACACGAAACTCCTGTTGTGCTTAACATCTTGGCTATTGTCCAGGTTAACAGTTTTTCATTGTCTCTCTGTCTCTCCAGCTATACTTTTGCTTTTGGTTTTGAGTTTGTAGCGAAGGTAGAGATCTGTATTACATCTCTTGGATGCTCCGATAATAAAACCAGTAAAAAAAAAGTAGCTGTCTCATTGTTGCTGTCTACCTTGCAGTTTTAGCCCTGCACAAACTTGGTGATTTAACACGACCGACAGACACCTTTCTTTTGGAAGAGAAAATTAATAGGCTGGTGAAACCTTGACTATTATTGTACTAACTAATTAGTTTCCAGCACTCATTTCAGAGGATTAATATTAACACACCAGAACCTTAACATCAGCCTTCCTGTTTCTGCCAACGTATTACTAACATGTTCCCTATTACTAACTGCCACTCCTCAGCCCTGGAAAAAAGCCCTAAAAAGCTGAGAAAAATGATCTCTTTCTAGTTTATGACTTCTCCAGCATCTTCAACCCAACCTTTAAGATAATAATTTCAAATTTTCAAACTCATGTTTGAGATGGCTAAAGTACTGTGTGCGAACAAATATCTACATGCACAAAACAGAAATCCATGTTTTATCTGTATCCAAAGGAAAATTGGTGTTGAAATAAAGTCCTGCATATGGTCATATCTTCACTTGGACTTCTAAATTATTCTGCCCTGCTTCACAGCTTGAGCTTATTTCCTTTAATACTTTTTAAAATACACACCTCGTCAATGTAAGGTGGACCAAAAGCAAATAACAAGATTTATTTTTAATCCTGAGAGATATCCTGTACTAGCGTAGCATACTTGGACAGAAAATGAAACATGATTTTTTCTGACCTCTCTGCAAGTGTTTGCTGTTCATTGATTCCAACATTAAAGAGCACTGGATACATGCGAAGTAGCTTTCCTTCTTTAATCTCTTGTGGCAGCAACTCAAACATCTTTGCTGGAAGCTGGACCTCTATAACGTAATGTTCACTAGGAAAAATAAAAAGAATAAGGATATGAATATTGATTGGTTTACTTGAAATTATAACATCCCTAAATTACAGAGAACATGTAGACTTGTAAATCAGTTCCCCCCTTGTCCCCTTAATTGTACCGAACCATAAAATGAGATGATTCAGCTTGCTTATTTTAAGAGCATAACCAAGCTACATGGAAAAAGACAGATATGTATAATTATACACTCTTGATACTGACTTCTTTACTGAAGTGAAAATAGGACTAAAGATGAAAGCAGTGAAAAAACTCTTCTGCTACCAAAAAATCAATGAGAACACAACCCTTAAAATGCATCTTGCTGAATAACAAGAACAACTAACTTCCTTTCAGAAATCACAAGTTGATCCTGTATCCACTCTAAATGTGATATGAACAAAAATCATACACAAAAACCCAAAGCAAAATTCCCATTTTCCTCAGTGGCTGAATTTTCTCATTGGGGATAGAAAGCACCATCAATAACAAAATTGACTCTGTGAAGATAATAATTGAAGGCTCATTACACAAACATGAATCCTGGTTTAGGAGAAGGGTTATGATATATAGCAGTTCTGGTTTTATATTTGTGTTCAGTCTGACTTTATGAGAAAACATGTTACTGTGGCTGCCAGCTCAAAATCTGATCATGTGGAACTCTCAAGTTGAATTTCTCCTGTCTTTAAGGATTGATGCCTGACCCCACAACAGAAACAATGGCAGGCTGTTAGCTTAGTTTTTATTAGCTTTTTTTTCTGTTATTAGAGCAATCAGTCTAATAAAAAAAGAACAGACTAGAAGCAAATCCATTTGTCTCCAGGATTTGGCATATCAGTCATTCAAAGAGGGCCAACTGATAATGAAGACTGAAATTTTCTCTCCTGCAGAGCACATTTGTTGTACCACCAAGAAGGAAGAGTATTGCAGCAACAGGAGAGAAGGAGGATCTGTATTTTACCTACAGAAACCAAGCCTCGGAAGTCACACAACTTTTACATGTAAATTTAAGGTGGAAAACTGTTTGCACCTATCAAAATAATCTATTATGAAGTCCCTCCAATCCTCATTTTGATCAGTCATGTGCTTGCTAAAGAATTAAAATACGATCTGGATTACCCATGTGTAGAGCTTGGGGCGAAAAGGCAGAAAACCTTGAAGAAAAAGGGCAGTTCCTGCAGTAGCTCTGACACCCCTGGCAAGCTGGAGGGATGAGCAGCACTATCTCAGAGTAGGTGTTTGGATACACAGCTCCAGCTTAGCAGAGCTAGCAGTCGTGTTTGAACCTCTATCCTGCCCATATATTTGAGAACAAAATAAAACAGATCCAGTACTGACTTGTGACTGAAAAGTAATTACATTCAGCTAGGGCAACAGCACATGCTTTGTTTTGGTACGGCCTAGAACTGGTGTGTAATCTCTGAGCAAATGCCAGATGCTCCCTATTGAGGGGGGGTTATCAGTTTTGAATGGAGGATACACAGGGAAGAAAAAAAAAATAAGTGAAAAAAGTGAAATAGTTCTACTCCCCAGATAAGTCTATTTGGTTTGTGTTTTGTTTAATTAATTCACCCATGTGAAGGAAATGGAGAGTTAGCAAGGATGACAGTAAAGAAGCCTGTACAAATGACCTTTGCATAGCAGCATTCAGTCTCAGCCTGCATGCGAGTAATCCTAGCTGCTGTCAAGTGCTACCAGAACATTTTTCTGTGATGGAGTGCTTTCACGAGGTTGAGAAGAAATGTTGGTTTAGTCTAATTCAAAGAGCATATGCTACAGAACCAAAATTCCACCAAATCACTGCATTGCTACACGTCACACCCCCAAAATCACTACAAAACTTTCAGTGTGTGAAAGAACGTTAAGAAATGCTGACTTTTAGACATGATAAATTAACATCAGTACCATTGGAGAGCTTCCTCTTGTCTGTTACTTTTTTTCTTTTTCATAACATTTTTTGAGGTCTCAGAGATAATCTTTGGTAACTTTTAAAAACCTGTAACCAATTGCACAATTAAAACAACCCACTTCTAATCATGTAAGGAGAAGGCTATCAAGCTGTCTAGAAAATCCAGGAATGGTACTGAAGTCAGGTGGGGAAAAAAAAAAGAAAAATAATTCAAAGTAGTGAAATCTAGAGGACTTGTCCGACATTAATTTACCAAAAATCTTACAGGTCCTATGCTTCTACTTAAGCAAGAAACAGTAATAACAGCAGTGAATTTTATTGCCATATCTTTTCTCTCTTTTACTGCTAGACTCAGTGCATAGCTACCAGGTGATTTTGGCATGAGATGGTTAAGGTGGCTACTACATTTTCCAATGAGAAGAAAAAATCAGTACACCATTTTTAACATTTCATGATCTCTCAGGAAAACAGGGTGGAGAAATCCAGCATGTTTAAGAGACTAAATAATAAAACTTATTCTCTTACAGAATGAATTGTACAAATTTAGGTATTAAATATTTAAACATACATGATTTCACTAAAACAGGACTGCTTAAGAATATCCCTTTCTTTGACTTTATTTGCCTTATTCTCTAATATTTGTTATCATCACATATGAAGACAGACAAACACTTGCAGTCCTTGTGGAAGGCTCCTAAAAATTACCCCCACACAGCTGTGGGCTACAGACCATGCAACTACTTGCAATTGGCGGAAATTGCACACATTCAGTTCATTGCAATAAACGCAAACCAAGTCATTTACATGCACCTTTGCTTTGCTTTGTAACAGATAAAAAAAAAGCACACAGGGTCAGTCAGTCACGCACCTCAGCTGGAAGGCGCTTTACCCAGCTCTTCTTTGAGCTAAGTGACAAATTTTTAGATCACTTCAATGTGGCTGTAAGTGCTAGTCCAATCGTGGGCTTCACTGAAAACATGGTATCAAACCCTGTTTGATATGTGCACAATCAAATACTTTCTATCAAAGAATTTATAAAAGTAAGCGTTAACTACTTTTGCCTATAAGAAAAGAACCTCAGTGCCTGAACAGAACGTCACTTCCCCTGGATGGTCGGGGTCAGGCACTGACATCAGCAGGTTAGCATACTGCTAGTCAATGCCATGCTCTTTGGATTGATTTGTTTGTGTACACAGAACCTCAGTCTTAAGCACTTCCCTAGAAAAACAATTACAAGTGAATACTCCGACTCTGCAAGATAAGAAATTGTAGCTTAACCTTCTGTCTTCCATTTCTACAGTTTTTTAGTCTCATTCTATCAAGCCACACCATATAACAACTGAAATGATCTAAAAATTGTGGGATTTTTAAACACTTATTAGAAAATAACTAGGTTTTCCACTGCCTTCTCTTTTTATGGTTGACTTCCAGTGCTGTCTGATAGGTGCTCTCTCATCACAGCTCTAACAGGAATAGGACTCCTCCACATAAGCCTTAAAGATTTTTTTTTTGTCTGATACCAATACCATCCAGTGAATACTTGCCAGTAAGTACTGTGCAGCTACCACAGGCAGAAGCTCCTCTTCCTAAAGACTGGCTACTCCATCAATCCAGAATGCCTGACGCAGCTTAAAGCTCGAGTATCTTTCAAACCCAGGACCTCCTAGCGTGACAGTTCAGTGTACCGCAGTAATAGCAGTAAGCGAGTAAATGTAGCTGTTGGGTTTTTCAAAATTTTTCACTGCTGTGATTTACAAAGGATGTCTTTCTTCTGTTTTATCTACACACCATAATTATTCTTAATTATTCCCAATGTGTTGCCTATCATACTCCGGCCTTCCTGCTATTTATTTCAATCCTTTCTCGGAAAGCCCATAGGATGAGAGTGAATCATCCAGAATAATTAAGTAAATCAGTGGTGAAAGCCCCCTTCAGAGGAAACAAATCTTTTCAAAAAGTTGCTGCTTTTAGCTGAATTTAATTTACAGTCATCTTAAGAATAATGATACTATTAAGAAAGTGATTTCTGCAAAAGTAAAAACATTTGGAGCTTCAGAACAGAATAATAATGAAGATGAAAAACCCATTCTTCCTGTGTAACAATCTTGTTAACCCTCTTATAGCCACAATTAAGGAAGTATTTCTGTCTATGTCTTGATATTCAGCAGTGCTTATGTGAGATGCATAACGTATTAGTGGCTTTATGCAAGGATTTCTGAGGTTGCATGTGTCCTGTGTGAACTTCAGCAACTAAGATAGGCTTCATTTTTCAAAAGTGACCACTACATTTCAGCATCCAACTTTTTCAGTTTCCATCTTAAGACAATCAAGGCCTAACTCTTAGAAATGCAATTTCATTTGTCACACTGAAATACAAGTTGTGGACACCTCAACACCAAGATTTCTTCAGTTAGAGGCCACTTTTGTAAATATTGACCTTGTCACATTTCTCTGATTCAGTATTTATACACAAAAAACACAACAGAAACTCTGCACAACCCCGATGCTGTTTTGATTAGTTTGTATTAATAGTTGGAACTTTTTGCTTTTCATCAGGAAAGTAACCCAGAGCCCATATTACTACTAGCTTTACAAATCCCTACTACCTCATTACATCTCCCTTCACCTCACACAAAGTAAAACTACTGCACTTTCCATATAACAGAATTCAGCAACAAGAAAACCATTATGTGGCTTTTCATGTGCTACAGATTAAAACTACATTCCATGGGCTCCAGGAAACAAAGTTCTTACCGCCTTCCAGTTATAATAGGCAAAAAATCTTCTGATTTGGCTTCAATAACTTTAAACATCACTTTCTGCAAATCTGAAATTCCCACAGCCATGTCTTCTAGCATCCCTGCTTCTTCACCTATATGGAAATATTACAGAGGTTATTAACAGAGTAGACAGATCACTCACTGAATAGGTTATAGTAAAGTAATACAGGGATTATATTTTCCACTCTGTGCATCTAAAAATCACAGCCCTAAATCCACATTAAAGTAACCTACATAAAAGCAGACTGATTTTTAGAACTGCTGACGATTCTTTGTGGCCTAAATGAGTATTAAGCACCTCTGAAAATCAGCCTGCTCTATAAGTGCATAGAATAATCTCAGAAAAGCCATTTTTGTCTATTCTGAAAGCATTTTTAAAGACTGTCCTGCTGATGGAGGACAAAGGTTTTGAGAATAACAACGAGTATCATGCAAAAGGGAGCCTGGAAGCAATCTCCAAGTGAGGATCTGCAATTGCCTGTGCCTTAAACAGCTGCGAAAATGCTAAATCCCTCTACTTTGGTTAAAGTCTCCAGTTTGGGGAAGGATTCCAATACATCTAGTTCAAAGCATTTTGAAACAGAAGGCAGTTTCTCCCTCCAAATGTCCTTTTTAGTACCTATCAAATGATGGCATCTGTAACCAGCTAGGAATTAAACAGTTTCAAGCCGTCTTCACATCATCATTATTGGTGTGGTCAGGGAAGAGGCTGAGAGTCAGTAACTGTTTAAATCTGCTGTTTGGGTTAGCTTTATAAACCTGCTATTTTAGGTCAGGCCAATGCCTATACAAATGGAGAGAGCTTTTATTAAAATGAGCAGTTCCACTAACTGTACTGAGGAAGGAGTCTCCTGTATTTTAAGACAATGTAGCTCAGCACTCTGCATGGAACAATTAGCAACTAGTACTCTCAGAGGAATTGAGAACAAAATAAATGAGTAATTCTTGATGAAGAATTGAAGCATACTGTCTCCTAAGTATAGTATTTGTTGATTCAATAAGCCAAATTACTGGAAGCAGAACAGACATTAAAATAAGAACCTCCTGGGTCTGGGTGCGTAAGGAACTTTGTCCAATAACAATACTTACTATACGTACTAAGAAGTCCTTCATATTGCACAAGCAATCCAACAGTATGAAGCTGTTGTAAAAATCCTTGATCGTGTAAACCTGTGTGCAATTTGATTATAAAGCCACAGACCAATCCAGTGAGCTATAAAGACAATAAAAAATGCAGCATTAACACATGCACTGTTATAACATAGTTAAAATGAGGTTTGCTATCATTATATGCAACAGAAGTAATATTTAGATATTTGAGAAAACAGCATAGGTATTTCTGTTTAGTAACTACATACATAATTTCATATTATTATTGAGGCATTTTTTGGTGTAGAAAGCAGTGAAATTATTATTTTACATTAGATAACCTTCATTTGTTTTGTGGGGTTGTGTGTTATTTATGCTGACACAAGTGGGACCAGAACTTCCACTGGCAGGCTATAAACACATAAGGCTATGAATTATGATGCATTTGAAAGTAGTTAGGCACCTAATGCAACTGAGTCACCTTACCAATCACACCCTAACTCCTTAATTATATTAGCAAAAAAACAATAACTTAAGGGAAAAATTAGACAAATCATTTAGAGAAACATCTGTTTGGAAAACATCATCTATAGGAGAAGATAAAATGAACTTCAGTTACTTACCACTAGAAGACAAGCCTGAGAAGAGACATGCTAATACTCTTCAAACACATAAAATACTGCTACTAACCAAAAACAAATAATCTATTCTTCATTTCCAAGACAGGCAGGAGAAAAAAATATCTAGCTTGGATAGCAGCAAGGAATATACAAGGCTAGACTTCAGAATCTCATATAATCTAGTAAGACTAAACAGAGCTTTATGGATCCTTCTTTGTGCAAAAGGGAGACGCGGTAATCTTTTCCAGTCCATTGCAGACCTACTTCTCTGACTCGAAGATACAGTTACTGTGGATTTCCATTTACTATTAACTTCTCTATCGCATTATAAAATATTTAGGTGTATGTAACGGAAAATATATGAAAAAGTGGTGTTAAATTGGAAAAAGAAAAAACCCAACACCACCAAAAAACACAAACACTGGCATTAATGGTATGCTTAATTATAGCAACAGTAGGAGACAAGTGACACAAGACAACCTACTGCTTGACTAAAGACGATGTCTCTTCTTAGGGTCAGCATCAAACACTGTGGCAAACCACAGGCAAGTTCCTGGAGCAGAACAAACGCCATCGATTGCTTCGCCCTGGTCACCACCTCTCCCATGCAGTCCTTCAGTGTAATCACCAGGGGATAAAGCTGTTCATACCAGTCACCTAGAACAAGACAGACCATCTGTTCCAAAACAGAAAACTTGCAGTGAAAATCCTTTTTGGAGTGGAAGGAGGTCTGCGGTGGCTGCGTAATCATACCACAACTTAAAATGACCCCGCAGCTCTATCCTAACCTTTGTGGTGCAGCAAACGCCACCGGAGAATATGCTTAGAGGTAGGACTCCAGCTTACCACCAAGACTGGGGCTAAATCCCTGGCCTGAATCCAACTATATCCTGAAAAAATGACTTTTTAACAGACCTAGCTTCTCTGTAAAACTTGTATTAAAGTGTCATAAACAGAGCATACAGGGATACATGTGAAAACTCATTTAGCACAAGATGAATACAGTGGAGATGAAGATCTGTTCTTTACAGCACTGACAACTTGCTATCGAAACAAATGAAGTACCATTTAAAAAAAGGGAGGAAGAACCTATGTTTAAGAAAAAGTGGATGCTGGAAGGCAAAACAGAAGAACAAATAAGTTTCTGGAAGGATACTATCTGTTTAATATATAGGCTGGAAAAATACTAAACTTCAGGTCACATTCCATCTTCTTTTAGCTTTTTTCTATATTGTTCTCTTTAAATATTTATAAATATTGAACTCTTTTTAGCTACTTTGAGCAGAGAAATTTAGAACTATTTTCTAATATGTTTTGCTCTGTTAAAATATCTGCTGACAATATCATAAAAAATAAGTTAGTGAAATGATTGAAAAACGGGACTCCTCAATACATTGCAAATGAAATGAAGTGATAACTAGGAATGGAACAGCTTACTCAAACTTGCCCAAGCACACAAGCTGTTCCTGAATTTTTCACAATTTAATAAAATCACACCTGCATTGTAGTTGTGTATGGTTTTGACTATGCCTCTAAGTTGAGCTAATAATAATAACAATAACAACAACAATAATAAAATCACCCTGCTTCAGAATTTACATCTCAGTTTCATTGTTATAGTTTAAATTGAAAGAGAAATCAACATTCCAAAAGAAACCATATAAAAATAGGGAGTAACTGTCTTTATGCAGTCCATCACTGACTCATATCTTCTGTAGATTAGTGCAATTAAGAATCAATGATAATTAAAACCTCTTCCATTTAAATTGTAATTAGGTGGAAGGAATCAGGTAACATTCTGAGTCAGGCCAATGAAAGACTCATTAGTCACTGAAGCAGTTCTTTAGGCAGGAAGACATAGCTGCCTGTTGCAAAGTCAATTTGGCTGTGCTCCAGAAAAATATGTAAATGAATAAAACTGTAGCCAAGAAGACTGGAGACAACTTTGAAAGCCAGTAGAAACTGTGAAAAAATAAGGTGCAGGAAAGAGGAAACAGGAGCAAGGACAGAGCAGTCACAGAGAACAACTTGGGTTCCTTTGCAAACAATGTCTTTGTGGTCAGAACACAGTCATACATATTTAAGCGTAAGCAATACAGACTGAAGAACCATTCCCTGGAAAACAGCAGTTATGAAGTTAGAGCCATCATGAACCAAACAGAACATAAGCCACCCCCAGTTTCATGATCCAGCAAAAAGAGGCGATTTTATACACGCCATTGGCTAAGAGAGCACTGATACACTGCATCTCAAGGTCTGGTGTACACATTTTAGAGACCACTGAAACAAATGGAGAGCTTGCAGAGGAAAGCTACCAAGATTTAATCTCCTTAAGCCTATGAAAAAGGCTGAGCAGCAACTTGATTTCCCCTCTTCATGAGGAGAAAATAACAAGTACTAACCAGGATGTTGATTGTAGTGAATAAAAGCAAAAGAACAAACAATGGCCGGAGGCTGCTGTAAGACACAGTCAAAATTGGAAATAAGGTAGACAACAAGGCATGACATACTGGAAGTCAGACTAGACAGGCCAGACAATCTAAACACTCCTTTCAAATCTTTAATGATAGTAATTTATTAAATGATTCAGTAAATAAATGCCAAGGAAAGCAACTGCAGCAGAATAAGATCAGAACACATAATGCATAGTGAACCACCAACAGGACTGTATGTGATAAGAAGAGAGTTTGTTGTCTGCTTCTGACTTGAGCAAATAATGAAAAAGATCATACCTGGCTGCTTTAAATTAGAACTGAAGGTACAACTAATAAACATCTGTTCCACTTCCACAGGAAAGCAGAGCTGAATGCAGATACAGCCAAGGATCTTGCAAGTACACCGACAGCCAGGGCAAGAGAGAAATAGCTGAATTTATAGAACTTGCCACACTTTGTGAACCTTCTATTACCATTTCAGGTTACGTGGATAGGGCTAAAGAGCTTTACTGACATTCTTCTTCATAGAAGAGGGGGTTCATTTACTGGCCACAAGTCATGTAACACTTATATCTGTTTCTACTGAGTAGCCACTTAACCAGTCAATCTGCACTGTGTATTTCTGCTTCTTTAGGAACATAACTTTGTACTTGTCTTTACTGAACTGTATCCTGGTATTTCAGTGCTCCATTTCATCAAGATCCATTCTAATCCTGCTCCCACGGTGCTTAAAGCCTCTCCTAGCTTAAAGCATCTGCAAATTTTATGAGCATCATCCATATTTCATAAGCCAAGTCAGTAATTAAAATACTGAATAATACTGGACCCAGAACAAATGTAAGTGGATTCTACTTCATGCAGCCTTCCAAGTTGGCAGTAAACAACTGATAGCTACCTCCTATTATGATGTTCCAAATTATTTTGTACATACCTTGAAGTAGCTTCAACATCATTTTCTCACAAGGATTTTTTGGGGGAGACTACATGTTTGGAATACTAACTTCTTAACATAAGTAATTTTTGTCAGTAATAGTTGCATTAGGAAGGAATTCAGAGATTTGATATTCTTAAGGCCATTTTTTCATTAAAGGACTTATGCTAAATGTATTAAAAATAAATCCTACCGAGTATTTATGTCCCAAAGAATACAGAATTTTACTTACATGTATATATTTTGCTTTACATAAAACAATGAAAATTGTAAGTTTGTAGGAAACCTTACCCTAATGACTGAGGAAAGATAAATTAATTTATTATGGACTATAAATAGAATTGTACTTGCCAAAAGAAGATAAAACTATACCTTCACGTGATTAAGTTATCCGTAACAATCATCTAGTCGTTGCTCACACTGCGAATTCTTGCTCACAATTAGTAAGGATGACCAATCCCCCAGAAGGTGGAGCTAGTTAGCAAATCTAAGAGCGGGACTGCCTTGTCTCTTGAAAACAGAGTGTCTATGAATGGACCAGTATATCCTCATGTTTGTCCCTTTATTTCAAAGCAAGTTTAGTGTGTTAAGACCAAAATAAGAGATGCTTCACACAGAGGTCTCAGTAAAAACAAATCTAGAAAAATAAAAGTATGTAGCTGCTCAGTCTTTGGTCTGTTAAAATTGCCATATATCACTTGTTATGCAGGATATCCTGTTGCAAACATGCAAGAATATAAATCAGGGTCATTCATTAACAATGCACAAAGCTCCAAATATCCATCAGAAGCACTTAATTATAACAAATACTGCAGCTGTTAAGTTGTTCCTTGAAACCGAGAAACACTGTGAAACTGAAGTTTATGAAATGAAGAAAAGTTTGTATTTTGAAGTTAACAAGTACATTCAGCAGAATTTGGAAAATAAAATTGTCTTGTGTGCAAGTGATAAATATGGAATATTAATAAAATTAATAAAGATATATTATTCGTAAAGGGAGCTTTAAAATCCTGGTCTAAATTCAGGTTTAGATTATCCTGATCTAACTTGCCACAACATTGTTGATATGCGAGGATACTGCTTGGCTATGAGCTACTGCTTACAGGTCTAAAAGAGTTTGGAGAGGTGCAAGATGCCCTACAACTCCTCCTTCGTGAGAAAACTGCCAGTCAGCTCAGAATTAGTTGTTGCTGTGAAGAAGATGCAGGGGGCCAACCATGGCTCGAGTACCTTTACTCCTACAGAGACTGGTGATAGCTTTGTAGAATCTCTTAGGGAAGGCAACAGTACAAATAACCACTTTTGTGTTTAACGCATCCAACGACTTACACACGTGTTGACACTTTAGGTGTCCAATTTCAAGTTAAAATTGCAAGATTTACATCCTCATCACAGTGGAAAATCCATTGAAAAAGACTGATGAATAAACTGAATGACTAATATCTGGAAAGAAAAAAAAAGATTTTAGGAGCAAGAACAGAAGCAACAAGGAGACTACAGGATGACTATCAGGTCACTAAAATGACAAGGGCAGCCTGTCCTGTTTGCCAGTACCTGAAGGGGGCCTATAGGAAAGCCGGAGAGGGACTTTTTACAAGGGCATGGAATGACAGGACAAGGGGGAATGGCTTTAAACTGAGTAGGGTAGATTCAGATTAGATATGGAAGAAATTCTTTACGATGAGGGTGGTGAGGCACTGAAAGAGATTGCCCAGAGCAGTTGTGGATGCTCCCTCCAGTGTTCAAGGCCAGGTTGGATGGGGCTTTGAGCAACCTGGTGTAGTGGAAGGTGTCCCTGTCCATGACAGGGGGGCTGGAACTAGATGATCTTTAAGGTCCTCTCCAACCCAAACCATTCTATGATTCTATGAATATTTAGCATCCAAACGAAAGAGTCAAAGCATACTGATGAAGCAAGGAAACTCAGTTCAAAAACTGTGCTAGTCAGCCCTTGGAAGGAAAACTAAAACAAGGCATAGAAGCCAAACACATTAAAATGAAAAATGGAAGGATGAAATCAGAAGTAGCATCACCACTATGCATTTAGTGTAAGCTTAAAACAAACGAGTAAGTGCAGCAAAGCACTGAGTAGATACTCCACTTGCATTGCTAACAGAGTTGTGGAAGTTCAATTTATGACAGGATTTGCCCTTTGGTTGCTGGAAAATACCCTTCAGTCCCATGTTCTCTTAACCAGCATGCCTGCACAAGCAGATAACTTGCTTTGTGCCCAACTAGTCATTTCTACATGCTAATATTCAAATTGCAATAATAAATCAAACTGCATGTTA